GACGTGTGTACCTTATAGCTTGGAAATAATACCATTTACGTCGATATATTGACGTGTGTACCTTATAGCTTGGAAATAATACCATTTACGTCGATATATTGACGTGTGTACCTTATAGCTTGGAAATAATACCATTTACGTAGATATATTGAGTTGTGTACCTAATAGCTTGGAAATAATACCATCTACGTAGATATATTGACGTGTGTACCTTATAGCTTGGAAATAATACCATCTACATATTTATATTGACTTGTGTACCTTATAGCTTGGAAATAAAAGCTTCTACATATTTATATTGACTGTGTACCTTATAGCTTGGAAATAATACCATCTACATATTTATATTGACTTGTGTACCTTATAGCTTGGAAATTAAAGCATCTACATATTTGTATTGACTTGTGTACCTTATAGCTTGGAAATAATACCATCTACATAGTTATATTGACTTGTGTACCTTATAGCTTGGAAATAATACCATCTACGTAGATCTATTGACGTGTGTACCTTATAGGTTGGAAATAATAGCATCTACATATTTATATTGACTTGTGTACCTTATAGCTTGGAAATAATAGCATCTACGTAGTTATATTGACTTGTGTACCTTATAGCTGGGAAATAATACCATCTACGTAGATATATTGACATGTGTACCTTATAGCTTGGAAATAATACCATTTACGTAGATATATTGAGTTGTGTACCTTATAGCTTGGAAATAAAAGCATCTACATATTTATTATGACTTGTGTATCTTATAGCTTGGAAATAATACCATCTACATAGTTATATTGACTTGTGTACCTTATAGCTTGGAAATAATACCATCTACATAGTTATATTGACGTGTATACCTTATAGCTTGGAAATAATACCATTTACATAGTTATATTGACGTGTGTACCTTATAGCTTGGAAATAATATCATCTACGTATTTATATTGACGTATATCACAGATTTGTATCTGTATGTAATATCAGAGATTTGCTATGAAAGGTTGAAGGTTAAATTATTTGACAGTTTTCTGCTATGACTAAGCTTGCTGCTTGCAGATTTTTTAATCAATTTTGTATAAGCATTTTTATTATGGTATGTTTACTATATTTTTTTCCCTCTCTTTCTCTGTATACACACATATATATATACAATTTTGAATGTTTAGACTTCTACAAATGAACAAAGTTTACGCATATATATAGGAAAATATGTACATTGCCAAATGTCCATAATTAGGACAATATTTACCCTGTCGAATGTCACATATGTAGTACAATATTTATCCTGCCAAATATCAAATATGTAGGAGAATTAGATTTCCTGGCTGGTTCGGTTTTACCTTATTGTTTCTTGTAAACTGTAGTGTTACTATTCTTTTTCTCTAGTGTAACACGTACTTTCTTCACCGGTGTTGCGAAGGGCTGGCGTGCAGGTCGAATTTTCCATATTCGAAATACGGTCGCTGTGTTCCAGAGATTTATGGTTAGATTCCTAGATTGTAGCGACACCTGTCGTTAACGTCAATATCATCCTTTTATTGTTATTGAATACTTGTGCAATTTCAATGCTTGACTTTTATCATTTAAAATTCGAATTTTAACTTAATAAAAGATTGAAGCTTTGGTATTTTTTTTATTAAATTAACTTTTGGGTAGAACATTATTGAACTAAGTTTTGGATAGAACATTACTAAACTAACTTTTGGGTAGAACATTACTAAACTAACTTTTGGGTAGAACATTATTAAACTAACTTTTGGGTAGAACTTTATTAATTAAACTAACTTTTGGATAGAAAATTATTAAACTAACTTTTGGGTGGAACATTATTAAACTAACTTTTGGGTAGAAAATTATTAAACTAACTTTTGGGTAGAAAATTATTAAACTAACTTTTGGGAAGAAC